CTCGATATTCTTTACTTCTAATCTCGACTTTTACCTAAGTGTGAAACCAACATACGCTAAATATTTACTTAGTGAGGCATATTAATATAAAATGAATTATACTTAAATATAAGCATATCCCAGATTATCAAAATACAAACGAAAATCATATAATTCATATCAATATATCAAATAGGCTTGGCGAACCAATCTTAAATCAAATAACATGATAATTATCTTTAATATGCCACCATAGTATCAATCAATATTTTCTAATTTATCCTTTGTTTGCCAAATATATGTTGAATGAAAATGCATGGTACATGAGTTGCACATAAATGTCGTAATTAAAATATAAGTATATCGTAACTATCAAAATTCGAATTTACTGTTTTCATAACATTATAAGTTCTTTGGGGTGCACACGTAGTGTCGATACAGTTGTTCATAAACTTATTATGAATTTCGTGGGTTGCACACTTAGTGTCGATACGGTCGTTCATAAACATATTATGAATTTCGTGGGTTGTACACTTAGTGTCGATAAGGTCGTTCATAAACTTGTTATGAATTTCGTGGGTTGTACACTTAGTGCCGATACGGTCGTTCATAAACATATTATGAATTTCGTGGGTTGCACACTTAGTGTCGATACGGTCGTTCATAAACATATTATGAATTTTGTAGGTTGCACACTTAGTGTCGATACGGTCGTTCATGAACATATTATGAATTTCGTAGGTTGCACACTTAGTGTCGATACGGTCGTTCATAAACTTATTATGAATTACGTGGGTTGTACACTTAGTGCTGATATGGTTGTTCATAAACATATTATGAATTCTGTGGGTTGCACACCTAGTTCCGATAGTACACATAGTATTGATTTAAAAATGCAACATATGCATCTATAACTCTTAATGTACATAATAAATGCACTCACCTGGTATGCCTCACTAGTATGTTGCAATAATGTCCGACTATTCGACAACTTTATCCTTACCCTTCACAAGCATCCATTAAGTACACATACCATACAGATGTTAGTATATTCTCTAACATTTATACTTTAATAATACTCAAAAGTACTATTATTTCCAATTTCTATTAAAATTCATCATATCAAAAACACTACAGGATCAATAGTATCGGTACCCCTAGTTTGGTATCGATACTTCTATACTATGGTACCGATACTCCCTTCAGTATCAGTATCATTTCTGCATTATGGAATCCATGGTATCGATATCTTTCTCTTAGTATCGATACCCATAAAAATATCGATATTGTTCATCCTATTTTCTCAAATTTAAACCTATAGTATCGGTACTGTTCTTCCAGTACCGATACCCTTGCCTATATTTTACCCCTTTTACTTTGAATTTTACACAAATTTCACCTAAATATCTTACTCTTATCTCCAACCGTACCATTAAACTCATTATCACTTATCTAAACTAACTTACATCCATAAATCTCCTTATAACATCCATGATCTCCAAGGAACACTCAAAACTAAGAATCACACCAATTTTCCAAGCATGCTTTTAATCATGTCCAAGGATTCTAATATCTTATTTACTTCTTTAACAAGTCAAATTTACTTGTATTCCTTAATAAAAACTCATATTTCATCATATCACTCAAAAACCAATTTTCTACAATCTCAAATAATTCACTAATCACTTAGTTTTAATCATCCATGAACCTTCCTTAAACCTCTATATCACTTAAGGTTTCAAAATCAGCCCATAAACTAAAGGAAAAACCAACTTAAAGAAAACTCACCTTTGGCTATAGAGGAGAGCACGTGACGATCAAAAGAGAAGAAGAAGAGAACTTGGTTTTTTCTGAACTTTTCCCCTTTTTCTCTATAAAATATCCCTAATATAATAACTTCTAAATCCATTTCCCTATAAAGGACCAAAATGCCCTTTCATTCTTCCAGTCTTACTAGTTGGTCTTAAACACAAATTTCCTAAATCATTTCTTAGACTTTACCATTTATTCAATTTAATCCTCCAAATTTTAAATAATTTCAATATAGTTACTGACCCGATATTTGGGGTATTAAAACTGCAGATAGTTATCCATAACCATCTGACTAGTTTCAGCGTAAAAGTTTCGAGGAGCAAGCGTTGATAATGGTTCTCCCAAATCGTAATCCAGTATCTATGCTTCACCACCCAGTTGACCTCTTGTTTTCCTCGTCTGTCTATGTTATGCATATTGTCTAAATTGATATATGCTTCAGGAATATAATGCGTACAACAAAACTGACGGAGCACGTGATCAATCAGATGCCACTCAACAGTAGCATAACATATTAGAGGCGCAACTGACATCCAAATATCTAATGGCCCACTCAAGTGGGGTGAGATGCAAGCCTTTGTTTCATCGCTCGCATAAGGTATACACTGAAACTGAAACATAAATATATAGTTCTTATCAATATAATATTCTAAATCAAGTATTTTAAATTAAATTCTTCATATTTAAAGACGTACCTCAGACCCAGCTTTTTGATCAATAATTAAACGGATATCCTCTAGTTCACTAGGGATATCTATATGATTCTTTCTTCTCATCGACCACCTATTTAATAAAATATAAACATTATGTAATTATTTAATTAAAAAATATTTAAATCAAAATTTAGTTTTGAAATTACCTTAATAATAACGGGAATACATATGACTCATAAACGATTGGGCATAAGAAAGGCATTTGAAACCCACCCATGATTGGAGAAGCAGGAGACATCCACCGATAGCAGTTTTACTATAATTCGTTGCACAACACATTTCTCTAAAGAGAAATGCCAAAACTGCGGCGCCCCAACTGTATTTTCCTACTTCATCAAAATCAATAAGATGAAGCAACCACATACAATGCACCTGGTTGCGAGATTTCTCGGACATCAATATTCCTCCAATGATTCGTAGTATATATGCCTTTGCTTCATCATTAGAAGCATTTTCATTCAAATCTTCACAATTGGCTTTTAGTCGTGATAAAGATATCCGACCTCCATTGAAATCTGGCGGAGAAACTCCAAGATACTTCATGCATAGTGAATGCTAATCACCATCGGCTGCACCACACATAATATTTCCATCAACGGGGAACCCCAAATGCATTGAGACATCCTCCATGTAATTGTGCACTCTCCATATGGAAGATGAAATGTGTGTGTCTCTGGTCTCCACCTCTCAATTAATGCGGAAATTAGGTTGGGTTCGATTTTACAACCTCCAACAACTTTCGCAATATACTCGAACCCGACTGTAGACAGACACTGCTAAATATGTGTTGGTGTTGGTATCATTTTCCTAATTAATAAACGTTCCAAAAATTTAAAATTAATATAAATTCATGAAAACTTTAAATTAAAAAAATTAAACATTTACATAAATTTGAAAAAAAAATATTATCATATCACTAAAATGTCTTGAGATATGATTTGCATCAAATGCAACAGCATCTCGCTTTTCATTATAACTATAGGCAAACAAATATAATTAACACAAATAATTAATTAATAAATATAAATATATATAATAAATATATAAATATTTTAATAAAAATATAACATTATTTTTAAATAATTATTTATAAAAAGAATATAACAACTTTTAAAAGAAAATATACTAATTTAAAAATAAATTTCTTACCAACCATTAAGAAATTTTTAACTCAAATAAGAGAGTGATTTGAGTTATATTAGAGAGAAAGAATGATTTGGTGTGAAGAATAAGGAGTTAATAGGGTTTATATAGAGGGAGGAAGAGGGGGTTTAGGTGAGAAAACGGGTGAGAATTAATTATCCTATTAATAGAATGCGCGTCCCCAGAAACGCGCCTTCTGACGTGGCATCAAAATCCCGCGAAGGCGCGCCTCCTGCAAAGCACATCTCCCGCGTGGTAGCACAGTCAACAGAAACCCATGAAATGTCCGTCCCCTTAAACGCACCTTCTGTCTTGTCAGTAAAAATCCCGTTAAAGCGTACTCCCGCACGTTCCTTCCACATTAGCCCTTCCATTAGATATTAATGTAAGTGATTTGATTAAATACAATTAAATAATTAATCGGTCTAATTGACAAAATTAAAATAACGATAACAAAAATAAAAGGACTAAATAGTTAAGTGATATAATTTATCCAAATTTTTAACATGATTATAAACTAATCTAATTACAAAAGATATCCGATTATTTCAAGTTCTAATAAAAAAATCATTTCAAATTTTGATATGAAGTTCTGGTTATTAGTTATTTCATTTCAAATTCTGATCATCATATCATTTTAAGTTCTTATATGATGGACAATTATTATCATATCATTTCAAATTCGATCATTTTCTGTAAAAGTAAATTTTCCTCTCCCTGGCCCTCCCGTGTTACTTCACTGCTTCCTTAAGTGCATACTCCAAAACTAGTATTCACCGTGTATTTTGTAGTTGTTATCTAAATTCCAATATGTACCGATCGCATAGGTTCATTTCAAATGCATCAAACGTATTAATACCAAAACTCATGTTCCCGTAAGAATCATAGCCACAGGCGATAAAAAAAATAGGGTAGTGTGTATACTTGACTCATCGTTGTTGAAATGATTAAAAGAATTATTAGATTATTTTTGCAAAGAAATAGGATTGAGGTGCCAAAAAAACTCACTGTGCAAAGCACAAAAACAATTAAAATACTGAGAAATCACAACTTTTACTAATAATTAAAATAACTGATACATAAAACAAGCTCAACACATTCATAGCTCAACTTCTAATGAAAAGACAAAATATAACCTATACTAGAAAATAACATAAGCTTGTGGCAAAGAAAGAGAAACCCAGTAAGACCTTGCATGTTAAAAGCAAACAAACAACCCCTAAATCTAGATCAACTTACACTATGCACCATTAGGGCAAGTTAAAACCTAATTTTTTTTTCGATCTGTCCCCTTGAAAAAATAAGGGATGACCGAATGTTAAACAACCGATACAAATTAATTCAAATATACCACTACAGATCGAGCCTCAGCATCATCCTCAAGTCACTTGTGGCATCGCTGTTCTTTACAGAAACCTCCATCTTCTTAGTGAAGAAGGCTGGCATCGGAACAGAACTTGGAGGAGGCGAGGTTATGAAGGCAGACCCAGCATAAAAGGGGACTGGGTTGACCTTATTTTTGTTGTTGCTGTTGTTGTTTAACTCGGTGAGTCGTGTCTGGATGGGAATCGACAAGGGATCTGGACCTAAACGGTTAGTGGAACCCAGATCTACATCAACGTTTTCCTTTTCGAACCTATCGGACTTCCGGGGCGACCGTTTTTCTGGAAATTCGCCACGTTTGAGGATCTTCACTTGACCCATCACGAAATTAGTGGCCGGGAATTTGGTATCGACAGATGGAGGAGGAGGGGAGGTGGTCGGAGACCGGTTCCTACGTTTTGGGTTTGCCCGATTCGAACGGTTCGGGTTCGAGAAAAGATTTTTGTGGTGTTTCATGGGATTCGATATCTTTAAATAATCCTCTGGTTGTAGAACTGCAACACCCATGGCTGGAAAATAATATAAAGAAATGAACGATTAAAGAGAATTAAAAGAGATTTGAAAACGGAGATTGAGAGCTTTCCAGAGAGAGAATCAGAATGAAAATATAATCAAGAAATGTCTTCAAAGCGGTAAGGAAATGGAACATGAGTATGGCTAGAGGAAGGAGGGGAATTTATAGGGGAAAGCTAAAATGAATTTAAATTAATTTCCTTTATGAGGGCTTGAAAGCTACTCTCTCATCATGCGGTGTCTCTTTTGCCCTTTCTTTTATGCATAAATTACAAAACTAGTACACCTACTTGATGAGAAATGACAAAAATATCTCAATAATAATAATAAAATTCAGGATAGTTCAAGATTTAGAGGTTCTGTGTAATTTTGAGTTGGATTTGAGTATCGATAAGCTTAATTCAAACTTAAAATAAGAAACCAAAGTTTGGTTTTAGTTTATAAAAATTTAAATTTAAAATATTTTTGTTCTTTAACTCGATTGAAGTTTGAAATCGAACTCGATTTAAGCTTAAAAAATGGTTGTCCCCTTTTCCCATATGTATGGGGTAAGGGGGTAAGATAGTAGACTACCCCCAACACCAAGTTGAGAGCAGCTTCCGTAAGAGACCTCCGAATTATGAAATGCTCTCCGTGGGACTCGAACTTTAAAAATATAAAAATCTTTTATTGTATTTTTAAATATATATATATATATATAAATATTAATATTATTAAATTAATTAAAAAATATATATAACATTTTTCATATCGATCACGAATCATTTGATTACATTTCTTAAAATTAAATATTATTTATAATCTATTAAAAAATGTGTGACTTGGAATATAATTTGAAGTATCGCACTTTTGGATTTTAGCTGGTCCAAGCCACAGTCAATAAGGCAACATTAAACAATTCAAGATTTTTCGGGTGTGTCAAAAACCTCGGTCACGATTTAAAGAGGAATGGGTTGCGTCTGACGTGGCTTTGGATATCCACCATCTTAACACTTCACCCTTGTACTTAACTTTATTTACGAAAGCACCCAACAGTTAGGTTCCCCGTTTTGGACGACACGGTGGACCAGTTTTGACGTTTGTGATTGCATGCCACGTATTCAAACTTTAATTGAGTTTTGGATTAATTTTGAAAGGCATCCTAAAACTCTAACATAGATTTGCATTGGTCTCTAAAATTCAAAAAGATTGAATTAAGTTTGTTATTATTTGACACGATTGTCCGGGCGAAATAAGGGGTTAGAGAAGCCAGACTTCCCTACTAAATGTCTAAATGGTAAAATTGTTAATTTATTTCTTTTAAATTTTAAAGATTCAAAAAAATATAAAATTATAGTTTTGGCTCGATCCATGATAAATTTTTACTTCAAGACTTTATAAATATATGAAATTTTAAGTTAAAACAATATTAAAATTATATTTTAACTTTTCAGAAAAAATATAATTTGTTACAAAAGATATATATAGACCAAATTCAAACTCATGTATACCTATTATATTAGCTGTTTAGATTTGACATGTTTTAAAATAAAATATTTTTCCTAAAATTGAATGATAGTTCTTTTATTAACATATTCAGATTAAAGCAAATCATGCAGTCAGTATACACATTTTCTTAAATTTATTCCATCTATTTTAAACATACTCCAAGTTAGATTTGAGTTGGCATTCTATGTCCAAATTGATATGGTGCAAATATTTCAAAAACTCATTAAGAAAACTTTAAAGTTTGAGGATGGATTTAGAATAAAGTATAATTTGGGAGCATGTTGTGTAAATTAACCCTAAATTTTAAAAGCAAAGAAAGTGGTGAATCAAGTAGGATTTGTCGTTAAGGAGGAAATGAATGGGCATTAGTTGAATAAGAAAGAGCATCGGTTATAATTATGTATAAGAAGATAGAGAGAGGGACAGACAGCTGGAGCTTACTCACGTGTAAACGTGTCGAGCAAAGATAGGGGAGATGCAGACGTGTGAACTCGTCGGAATGCTGACAGCCGACTTGCATTTCATTAAAGGTTCTTGCATTTCACTTATCACAAGAATACTCTAAAATTAATAATTTTTTTAATGATTCCTCCCTATTCTTATTTTATGTTATCTCAAAATTATAAACATAATAATAATATACAAAGAGTTTAATTTATTAAAATATTAATAATTTAAGTGTTTAACATTATTTTATATTTTTAATATTTAATATATTAATTATTTGTAATTTTACGAGATGAAAAATAATATTACTGTAAAAATATAATTATTTAAAATGATATTTAATTTTAAGTTATTAAAAATAGATCTTATACATTGAAAAATAATATTTTTGTCCACTCCAGACTATAAAATTATTTTTTATATTACACTATATTTTATATAAATACATATTATACTTATGAAAATTATTTAAAAATAAATTTAATATGATAATTATATATTAAATGTATTTTTTCTCAAAAGTTAAATATTATAACGATTAAAATATTTCTATGAATTTTCATTCAAATATTTATAATTTAATATTAAAGTTTAACTTTAAAAAAAAAACAATTGGGTAAAATATGCATTCAAGTAATATTATGTTTCTCCAACAAAACATTGTAATTTTATATTCCTGCTAAATAAATCAAATAAGGGAATACAACATTTTCAGAGTAATGTTACATTACCGTAATGTTATTCCCAAATATAATCTTATATTCCACGAACCAAACGTTCCCTAAAGGTAAACTACTTAAATATTTAGTACTTAAGCTATCAGTTTTTGCCGTTTTAGTACCTAAATTTTCAATTTTTTAAAAATCATACTTAACATTTAGTTTTTATTTTATTTTAGTACCTAAATTATCAGTTTTGGTTCGCCTTAATACTTAAACTATCATGTATTTTTTAAATTACGTTTAATTTTGAATAGGGGTACCAAAATGAAACAAAAACTAAACCTTAGGTATGGTTTTGAAAAAAACTAAAAATTTAGGTACTAAAATAGATCAAAAGTGATAGCTTAGGTACTAAATGTGTATTTTATCCTTTCTGTTGAATTATATTTTATAATATTTTAATATAAAAAATTAAGGTAAAATGTTTTTGGACTTGATTAAATTTGTTTAAATTTTTCAAAAATAATTCAAAGTCCACTAAAATAGAATTTGAGCACAAAAAATTTTCTGGGTACGTAGTATCGATACTATTATTATAGTATCGATACTCTTTAGGTAGTATCAATACTACCAGATGTTTTTCAAATTGCTCAAATTCCAGAATGCAAAATAGGTATCAATACTTAAGGGGTATCGATACTACTTCACACATGTGGTATTGATACATGAAGCATAGTATTGATACTTGTCAAGCCCAACAGTATTTAACGGCTAGTTTATTTAAATGTTACAAAGGTATTACTGATATTTATGGAAATGAGTACCGATACTCCCTGTTCTGGGTAGTTTTATTTTGCAGAAAATTAACCCCCAACGGCTAAAATGACCACAAACTCATTCCAACATATAAAAACAAGTTGAGGACACTTGAAGACGGTTGGACAACACCTGTCCAAGCAATCAAACACAATAGAAGAGCTTTTCATTTTTATATTTCTTTTTCTCTTGTACATAAGTGTGTTTGAATTGTAAATCTTTTAATTTTTTTCTTGTGAACTTAAATCTTATAAACACCCTACCTTTGAGAGGTTTTCTTGTTTACTTATTTTAACCTTGTGTAAAGGGGATTAGTTCTAGTTTAGCCTTTGAAAAGCCAAGAGTTGTAGAGGTTATCTCTTTGTCTTGGAAAAAGAAAGAACAAATTAATGAATTTATTAGAGAATCATAAGTGAAGAGCTTAGGTAGTAGATGTAGACTTGGTTGATAAGTCGAACCACTATAAATTTTTATGCAAATTATTTCATCTTTATACTCCTTACTCCCTAAACTAAAAAAGTCAATTCACCCATTCTTGGCAAATTATTCGGTTTCTCAATTGAGCTTCATCGAATCCGAACAATTGGTATCAGAGCTTGACTCATTAATAGGAGTGTAGTGCCTAAGAAGGGAAGAAAGCTCAACAAAATTCTGAGGTCATACACATGTTGTTTTGTGCATTTGGTCTGGATGTTTATGAAGGAGTTGTTTTGCGTTCAAATGCCAAGGAGTTTTGAAATAAGCTTGAAGAGATTCATGGAAACAAGAAAAAGAACCAACAAAGACGGTGTGCTTAATGGCTCTTGAAGAGCCCAAGGTATCTTTTAACTCTAATAAATCGATTCATATTCTTTTGATGAGTTATAAGATGCAAATGATGAATTATTTTTGGAGTTTAAGAGCATGAACTTCAAATACAAGAAAATGATTTCAAAACTTAAAGTTGAAAATGATTTTATTTTGAAAGCAAAAGTTGATTTTGAAAAACAAAATAAAATTTTGAAAAACAAAATAAAATTTTGAAAAATGATTTAGAGCTTTCAAAAAAAAATTGAAAATTTTGAAAAAGAAAGTTTTGATTTAAAGGTTAAACTTGAATGCTTAACAAAAGAAAAGGAAATCATTTTAAATAATTCATCTATTTTCATAATGACAAAATACTCACATTGTCATTATCATGGTCATAAGGAACATACTTGTCCTTTAAAGAAATGAAAACATTTTAAAATTAAACAAGTATGAGTTCCTAAGGGAACAAGGGGTATTGAAACTAACGTTCAAGGATCCAAAGCAATTTGTATACCAAAACCTACATAAATGTCTCTTGTAGGTGTGTGGGAGCAATGGTGATGAAAGTGAAGATATTCAAATGCTCTAGCCAGAATTGATATGGAATGGGTAACCTCTAAGCTTAGTTTGATTATCTTGCATAATTGATTGCTCATTTAGTTTAAGCATGTATGAGTTTTGATTTTAAATAATTTTATGTTTTTCTATCTCATGTATGTTAAAAAGTGTTGTTATGAACATTTTTCTAAAGTTTTAATGATTTTTCATAAATGTTTGTTCATCATAATGAAT